CTTTTGCCCCTTTTATTTCACCCCTATTTTCTCTTTCTTTTCCCCTTTTTTTCCCTTTCCCCCCCTTTCTTTCCCCCCTGTTATTTGGGCTGAAGGCTCAGAAAGCTGTGCTATGGTGGTGTGAAGTGGCTCCTGCACCTGTTTGCAGAGCAGCACGTGGACTCCTTTATTCCTCCTAGCCTGGTGGCTCTGCAGCCAAGTCAAACAGAGTGAGGAACCTCCAAGGGACCTCCCATGGGACTCTCCTGGGTGTACCCCTGGGTCTGTGTGGTAGCAGGAGAGGCAACACCTGGAATATTCCAAGGAGGCAAAGCTTCTTTTGATCCCCAGGAAGGGCTGAAGTTTGGTCTCCTCTGTAGTGTAATCCATATTTCATGGAGCATGAAACGTTGCCCTTACAGTCTGGAACAACTTCTGAAGTGCTGCCTGGGGTTGTAGCTTAATGCATCTTTCAGCAGCTGCTGAAAAGACCTGTTCTACCCCCAAAAAATTTTTAATTAAAAGCCTTTTTGACTTGGAAAGTGCTCCTGAGTTCCCATGGCTCCCAGGGGAAGGATCCAGTGGGATTTCTGGAGGCTGTTGCCTGCAGGAGATTCTCCTGATGCCTTGGGCAGTGTGTGGGCTGTGATGGTGTTGGTTCCCATCTCCAGGCTGCTGAGCACAGCCTTTCCTGTCTCAAGGGGAGATCCTCTGCCACCAGCACTCTTAGGCAGGGAACAGTTTGGAACAAAGCTGCTTTTTGGCACCTCTAGGGAAGGATGGGATGGCTGAGGGATTAGCCACCCTGGCAGGCAGGTAGATCATCCTCCCTGTGTGGCTGGTTGGGTCTCTGGGATGTGAGACCCTCAGAGCTCTGGGGCTCTCACAGCACCCCAAACCTGCTCACTGCTGCAGTGTGACTGCCTGGAGGTCACTCCCTGCAGGGTTTACAGGTGAGGATGTGCTCCAGCACTGCTGGATACAGCCAGAGGCATCTCCTGAGGCTTCCCACACTGCCAGCCTGGAGCCACTGCATCTTGTTCTGGAGAGTGGAGCTTGCCCTGAGCCCTGTGTGTGTGTGTGAGCATCTCAGACACCAAGCAAAATGTCCCTTGTGCCCCCCAAAATGCTGAGGCTGTTGGGCTGCATGTCAGGCTTGGGGGAGAGATGAATAGAAAGAGCTAACAGGCATTTGGGAGAGCAGCCTAGCAAGGGGCAGGCAACTGGGGTAGGAGTAAAGAACTGTTAAACTTTAACCTATTAACCTGGCACAAAGGTCTGGAAAATAATACCTGACGTTCAAGAAGCACCAAGTGCTTTCAGTATTGCTTTTAATACAGAAACTTGGGCCTGGGTTGTTGAACTTCCCCTGGCCAGAGTCCATTCCCCTTGTTTGCTCCAACCTCTGGGGCTGCTGCAGGTTCCTCCACCAGCAAGCCCTGCCCTGCCTGGTGGGAGATGTGCTCTGGGGCCAAAAAAGTGGGGCTCCAGCTCTCAGCTCACCATCCCAGTGCCCTTTAAAGGTGCTTCTCCCTTGAAAACACTGCTGTGGCAGCTGAGACATCAGAGATTCAGCACCTGGTGCCTCCTGTGGGTGCCACAGGCTTTGCTTAGGGAATCTCTTGCTCCTTGCTGAGCTGAGTGGTGAGGAGTGAAGCTTCCAACCCTCTAAATCAGAGGGATGTGAGGCTGAGCATCCATCCTGCCCCACCAAAGGAGGAGGAGGAGGAGGAGGGTCCTTGCACAGCAGAGCCCTGAGCATCACTCCTGTGCTGGCAGCTGGGCCAGGGGGGTCCCTGGCCCCTCTGCCCGTTGCTGGGAGACTGGTGCAGAGCTCCCTTGACAGGATTAATGCTGTTCCGCATTCTTGTCTGAGAGAAAAAGAAAAAAAAAAAAGAGGTTCTGCTGGATTCAGTTGTAAATTCAACCCTAGGAGCACATTGTCTCTCCCCAGCCCCTTTGAAAGAGGATTAGAAGGCATCTATTCTCCAGCACTTACTCTTCTTTCTCCTCCCCTTTCAATTTCCTTGTAGAGGATAACTTGGAAAGCCTGGAAAGTGCCTCACATCACCAGCACTGAGTCTCCCACCCTGTGCCTAGGAAGGGTCTACTCTGGTCTTAATTCTTAATGCCAAACTTTCTCTTACCTCTACGTAATCAGCTCCTTGAAATAAGTATTTGCAAGGAAAACAAAACCTGGGAGTTGGGTTGGGTTTTTTTCCTCACTTTCCTTACCCCAAGAAGAAGTTGTTGTTGTTATCTTCCAAGTCATGTGTGCAGGTCACATTCCTTTTCCTGGCTATGGGCCAGTCAGAGCTGAAGTCATGTGTGCAGGTCACATTCCTTTCCCTGGCCATGGGCCAGTCCAAGCTCTAGCCCAGGACACAATTCCTGTAAGCCATGGCACAGAAATGAGGAGCAGGAACCTGTGGGAGGAGGTTTGAGGAGCTCCTCCAGTGGGAGCTGGCAGCAGGTTTCCCTTGGAGGGAGGTCAGAGGGCTTCTCCCTTGATCATAGCAACAGGACTTGGAAAGTATAAACCCCAAATTGATGAAGTTTGCTTTATTGGAACTGTTTCCATGGAGCTGTGCAGCTGGTTCTGAGATACAGCATAGAGAGAAGCTAAGTCTATGATCTCTTACTCATGAACCACTTCCCAAAAGAGAGGGGTGGGTTTTGGCTCTGCCAGAGGTGTTGGGAAACCACAACACTCCTGTCTCCAACCCCTGGTGTGACCCTCTGTGTTCATCCACAGGTGGCCATCAAGTCTATCCGGAAAGACAAAATCAAGGATGAGCAGGACCTTATCCATATCCGGAGAGAGATTGAGATCATGTCCTCCCTCAACCACCCCCACATCATCGCTGTCCACGAAGGTGAGACCTCCTCTCCCTTCCCTGGTCCAGCAGCATCCCTGGGAGGATCCTTCTGCACAGCCTTGGGTGCCAGGGCAGCTCTCAGGGTGGGCTCAGCCTCACTCGCTGAGTTTAGCATCACTGGAAGGGTTTACCCTCACCCAGGTGGGTTTTTCCTGGCTGGGTGGGTCCAGCCTGGCCCCTCTCCTCCCTGAATGCTGGAGCTGGTGACTCAGCTCTGGCAGGAAAGGCAGATGCTCCCAGGCTGTGGTTTCCCTGCCTGCCTGCAGAGCAGCAGAGAGGGGAAATACCTGCTCCAGAAATAGCCTTTCCTGTCCCAGCCCCTCCTGTCTGGACTGGGAAGTTGCTCCAACAGTTTTTGTGGCTTTTGGAAGTTGGAAGCCTCGGTGCTGTGCCAGCAAGAGGTTGTGTTGTGGTGGGGAGCAGAGGTCAGGGTCTCCCAGTAAGCCCAGTGTGGTGTGTGGTTGTGTTGGATGCTCAGCCCAGCCAAGTGCTGGAGCAGGGTGAATCTCAGCCTGAGGCAGGAGCTAATCTCAGTGCTAGAGTCCTCATTCCCTCCCCTAGGGCACTGGAAAACCAAACCACAGGATGCTGGGAGAGCTCCTGGTGCTGCTGGGCTTGGCTTTATGGTCAGGGCTGGGCTGTGCTCTGAGGGTGTTGGGATAACACCAACACAAGGGCAATTCCTCAGGGTCAACCTGCAGCCAAACTGAGCCCAAACCTCCAGCAGGGTCAGACTTTGCAGGCTCCAAACTCTGTGGCTGAAACCTGATGTGCCCTGCTCAGTCCCTTGGGGGGTCAGTGCTGCAGTGCTGGAGTCTCAGCACCTCCCCAGTGTGTGTGAGGGCTCCACAGCCCTTTTGTCCTGCAAACAAAGCCAGTGGCTTGGCAGTTCCTCGCAATGTTTGCAAGGGCTGAGTCACACCGACTGTTGGAATTCAAAAACACCGAGGTAGCTTTCTGCAAACAGGAAGAAAATGCTCAGTCTCTTGGCTTGAGCCTTGTTGGGAGCTCTGGGAACACGCAGGAAGATCTCTGGCTGTGCCAGACAGCAGTGCTGTCGCCTTCCCCCTTGGCAGGGGGTTCCAGCAAAGAGCCACGTGCCTTAGTTCACCTCCTGGCAGAGCAGAACTCTTGCTCCTGGGCTCTGTGGCTCTAGAGGCTGCTTGGCCAGCAGCCCTGGTGGCCCTGGGGGTGTGGGTGGTCCCCCCTGAGCTGCAGGTACCTGCAGAAACACCAACTCCTCCTTTGCAAAGGATGAGTATGATGGGTGGTGTGTTCAGGGCTCCACCTGCTCATTAACAGGCACCTGCTAATGAGAATCCCCATGGCTCTGAGCACCCTTCCTAACCCCCTGTGCCTCCCCATGTCCCCCAGTGTTTGAGAACAGCAGCAAGATTGTGATTGTGATGGAATATGCCAGCAAGGGGGACCTGTACGACTACATCAGCGAGCGGCAGCGGCTGACGGAGCAGGAGGCTCGGCACTTCTTCAGGCAGGTGGTGTCAGCTGTCTACTACTGCCACAAGGTGGGTCAGCACCTCCCTCCCCACTGCATTCCCAGGGGAAATTAGGCTCTGGGCAGAGGAACAGCAGCCAGGGCTGGGGAGAGATCCAGTGCCCCATGGGAAGCTCAGTCTGTGCTGGGAGGTGAGAGCAGCTCGTGGCTGTTCATTTCTCCTGGGACAGGGGTTGGTCTTGCCTCTTATCTGGAGGGTGTGACACTGCCCCAGCAGCTTTTGGGAAGTTCTTGCCTTGGATCTCCATAGCTGTGGTTTGGGGGTGACTAAACCAGATGGGGAGTTGTCACCTCTAGTCCCTCCTGCCTGGAGGGAGACACCCAGGGCTGTCTTAGGGCTGGATGCTGAGCCCTGGGGCACCTGTCCTGCTCCTGAAGGGGATGGAAAACTCCTGGGTCACCTGTCTTGTTCCTGAAAGGGATATAAAACTCCTGAGTCACTTCTCCTGCTCCTGAAGGGGATGTAAAACTCCTGGGTCACCTCTCTTGTTCCTGAAAGGGATATAAAACTCCTGGGTCACCTCTCTTGTTTCTGAAGGAGATGTAAAACTCCTGAGTCACTTCTCCTGCTCCTGAAGGGGATATAAAACTCCTGGGTCACCTCTCTTGTTCCTGAA